TGCTTGAGCTCCTGGGCATCTTCAGCTGCACACAAATGACCGTTTCTGAGCCCTTGAATTATTCTAAGGTTTGTGCAGAGGCCTTAACTAATGGTGCATAATATTTGAGAAGACAGTGTGTTATGGCAGGTAAGGAATGTAGAACTGCTACAGCACTGGTGAAAAGGGGGGGATGTCAGAGAATGCTTCAGGAAGGCATTGCACATGCCAATTCCACTGTCTTTGGACACAAATTTCTGTGCATGGCAGTAAAAATAATAATCTGGTGTCAGGACTGAATTGGAGACTCTGTTCTGGCTGGTTCCAGTCCAAAGCAAGCAGGGAAACTCTGAACTGAAGTGCCTGTCTGTCTCTTCCGCCTCCTCTTGCCCCAGGAGAACAGCCACATCCCCAGCAGATGCCTCATCCACAGGCAGTTGGTGGGCAGATGTCTTCCCTAGAGGCACACACAGAAGCAGTTGATGATGCCTTTATTAGAGAAGACTCACTTCAGAGGCAACAGAACTCTTTGTGGGCTTTGCATCCTTCCAGCATAGCTCTTAATGGTGGAAGTTTGGATTTGTTCAAGTCTGTGTTGAAGGACATGAAGTGAGGTCCCGCTGCTCCCTCAGGACACCCCTGACTTGCCTTCATGTGGAATATCTGGACCTGTACTATTGCAATATCATTGCAAGGAGTGGTGTTGGGACAGACAGCAAAGCACCTAAGAAGATTTGAAGTCTAACGCTCCTGTCTTTGTTGTGCCTATTCTGTGTCAGAGCAGGGTGAGACCTGCCAACTAAATATCTGATATTCCTGCGCTATAAGAAACGTTTCTTCATTTTACTTTCTTCATTCACTTTAGCACCCATCTGATGTAGATGTCTTTGGAGAAAGGTATTAAAGCCCAGGAGAAAATACTTTAAGAGGAGTCAGAGCAGAGAACAACTCCCTCCAGCCATCCTACCTTTGACAGCCTTTTCTGCACGTGGGCAGCCAGCAGAGGCTTTGTCCCTGCAAACCTCTCTTATTTTAGTACTTGATACTTATTTTTGCAGTTCATCCCTGAAGACTGAAGCATGTCAGCAACCAAGATTGATTGCATCTCTCCTCCATTGCTGGCTCTTCACTGCTGCTCCGTTACCTGTTGAGAGTCTCTTCTCAGCAGCAAAAAGCTGGGGCTCTTTTCCTATACTGACCTCCACGCAAAGTGACCTGAAGAGGATTTCAAGCATGCTGAGGCTATTGCTGTTTGGTTAACACAAAAGCAAAGATGCAAATTCGAGGCCTAGCCTGGTCCCTGTCCTCTGCTGCCCTTCAGATCTCTTTCCAGGGCCTTCCTCCTCCCAGCTCCAGCACTAAATATGAGAGCAGTTCTAATCAGCTGCCCTTGTCCCAGCAAGCCAGCAGTTTTCTGCAGATTTCTGCCACCTGCTAAAAAGGTGACTTGGAAGGAAAGTTTGTTCCCTCACTTGCTGCCTGTGTCAGCTTGAACAGCAGGCTCAGCTGGTGAAAAATCTGGTTTACTTCAAGTAATTTTTCTTCTGCGCCGCTATCTTCTCACTCTCAAGGCTGCGTTGGAAAGAGCGTGTTTTACTGTGGGGTCTCTGCCTGTGGCACCTAATAGCTGATGTGGTATAACATGCTCCAGCTCTGCCATTGCAGGTTTTGGCGTGCTGTCTCTTTGCACCACTATCGGGAATCCAGCACTCCCCTGCCACAGGGGACAGTCACTTGGTGGAAGGAAACGTTCTGGTTTATCGCAACTGGGGCACAACCTCTGGTCTCGCTGGTTCTCTACACCCTGTTTGTCTCTGGGAACTGTTTGAGTTTCTGCCTTTGCAGAGGCAGCACCCAGGGTTTCAGGGTACAAGGGTTGTTCCAGCAGCATTTGGAGTGAGGTTCCCAGGGAAGACGGGCTGTTTGGTGCAGCTAGTACAGCAGTGACCATGGCTGCTGTGCTCTGGGGAGATGGGGGTCCTGCATGTCTGCAACAGGGCACTGAGAAGATGTCACTAGCTTAGGGGCTGGGGGGGGTGGGGCATGCTGCCGGCTGCTCGAGGCCACCAGCAGCTCTGCCCTGCCTGGCCCTGTCCAGCAGCCCCTCATCGCAAGCTCGGCAGCAAAAAAGCAGCACTGATCTCCTGCCTACGGCTGGCACGGCACCAGCATCTGTTGTCATGGCAACAGGGTGTCACACCTCCAGAGATGCTGTTTCGGGTACCAATTTGTGAAACCTGCGCAGGATTTGTCAGATCATTGGTGGGGCGTGTAACCCCCCCCAGTCATCTTGCTGGGAGGGGGATGCTCTGCATCAACTGTTCGATCAGGCATCATCATCTGGTAGACACAGGAACGACACCAATTTAAAGCAGACAGGATTTTACACCAAAAGCATATTGTGTGTTGTAGCCTCATGAGACAAGAAACAAAGACCTGTTCATCTCCACGCGAGGGCAAAGCACAGCCATCTGGTTTCCTCCCCCGAACCAGCGCTGAAAAGCAGCGCGTGTGGCACCACGAGCCTCACCGCTGGCATTGGCCAGCTGGGCTTTGCTGAGATGACCCTCTCTGCTCCATCGCTGCCAGGCGCAGGAAGCGTGGCTCAACCCTCTGCTGGGGGTTGCTCTTCTTTAACTAAAGATTTATGGCTGTTTACAAAGCACACAATAGCTGAACCACCTGAGGGAGGGCCCAGAGCCAAATTGTCATCTCTAACGCTGCCATTTTGAGTGTGAGTTTTTATCAGCAGCTGTCAGCTGCATGAGCATGTCCTTTTCCCATTTCAGATTCTGTACAATAGCCAGAGTGTGGAGGTGGACGGCCACTCGATGAAGAAACTCATAAGCGACCTCCAGCCAGACACAGACTATTCTTTTGTGCTGATGAACCGCGGAAGCAGTGCTGGGGGGCTCCAGCACCTCGTCTCAATCCGCACCGCTCCTGACGTCTTGCAAAGCAAACCCATCGCCACAAACAAGTACATACAGGAAGGAAAATTCACGCTCACCCTTCCCAAAGTCCAGACTGCTGTGCCGGTTAGGTAGGTTGCCATGCCTGGGTGGAGAAGGCAGAGTTCGAGGGCTAGAGATGGGGAAAAAGGCGGGGCAGACCTCTGTCAACCTGTGGATTTTGTAACCTGGGAGTGAATTTCCGAGTAGGCTGCAGTACAGAGCCAGGCATTTACCCGTAACATGGGGTCATACTGCTGGCTCTTTCTGAGCAAATATTTATATGCAATAAAATTAAGACAATTCTCTGACAGTTTGCCCTCACCCTGGTGGGTATACTCCAGATGCTACCAGCAAAAACACAGTTGAGAATCAGGAGGGACTTTCTCTGACACTGTATAATATCCTTTAAATAAATAATGCCTAAAGCCTCAAGGAGATTAAAAAAGCGAGTTTGTGGAGGTCTTATTCGTTACTGTGGTATCCTTGTGCTGAAGCACAGTTCCCCCAGGGTTCTTGCTACAATCCGATTATATAAATGTCCTTCTCACAGCTCCTACACCACCCTCTGGAGCACAGTCTGTAGATCTTCATTAACCTAATGAGCACTAACGGGAGTATTCTCTCATGCAGTTCTTCCTTACTGAACCCTTTTGCAGCTCAGAGGGCAGGGAGAGGAGCAGGTTGTCCTTGGGAGGCCTATGACACATGTTATGTGGTGACCTGCCAGAGAGATGACTTGGGGTCCAGTGCTTACACTTTCCTTCCTTCCTAGGTGGTACTACATCGTGGTTGTGCCAGCAGATCAGAGCACCAGCAGCCCGACTGCTCGGTGGCGGACACCTGATGAGATGGAGCTGGACCAGGTAGGAATCTGTAGCAGTGACTGATGGACATGGCTCCCAGCTGGCCCAGCACATTTTGTCCAGGCCTCCTGCCAACGGCATGGGTGCAGTGGCATAGGTGCAGGCTGGGCGTCCGAGATGGGGGGCTGTCGGACATGTGGTGCCCACTCAGCCTTTCTTGGCTGGTGACAGCCTGTAGGAAGGAGGCTGGAGTCATGCAAAGGAGGAGCCACCTCCCAGAACATGCCCCATTAGGAGACCACACTTGAGTCTCTCAGAGATCTGAGCAGGACATCCTGTCTCGGGTTGTACGGTCTTTGCAGCCTTTTTCAGACAACGCAACCGTGTCATTTTTGAAAACAAGCTAGGAGAGAAAGGTCTTGTTTTCAGTTTACTAAACTGTTCTGTCAGGAGGCTTTTTCCTCTGTGGATAGGACCTAAGCCTGCAGTTCGGATAAAGAGTTCACTCTAGTACCTAACAAAACCTGCAAAGCTCCCTTCACACTTGCTTTTTAAAAGGCTTTCAGCATTCACCAGCCCGTTCACTCCAAGATGCAGCTTATTCTGTGCAGGAGTCCTCCAACATCAGTAGTGCGGTACATGTGTGGGTATCAGAAGAGTCCCACACACAGAGTTTGTGGGCTTTTTCTTCCCCATGCACACCACCTCCCCCTAAGGAATAAGGACAAATTCCAAGAAATCACACACAGAAGGGTCCGTTAAGAGAACGAAGTTGAAGCTTGAAGCCCTCAGAAATTGTTACAAAGTGTTAGAAGCTGTAGGTCAGCCCTTGCTTATCATTAATCTTTAATTAAATGATTGCACGTTCTTTTCCATGGGGTCCCAGCTCACTCTGTGTACGGGTGGATCTGTTCTGCAGATGAAACACAGCTGTGTAATGGAGAACCATCATCTATAGGTCTCCTGCATCATTTCATTGCAGAAGTTAGAAGATGTCACAAGAAATTAGAAGACTAGGATGAGAAAGGGATGTTCTGGTTTTGTGCTTTAGGTAGTTGAAAGCTATTGAGAGAACTGTTTTCTGTCTGTGATTGTTTCACCCAGTCCCAGGCAAATGATTAAAAAAGATTTTCAGTAGCTGCCACTGTCTTGCATGTTCTGGTTTTTTTTGGAGTGCTCAGTTTGAGATCCTGGAGCTTTGTTTGCAAAGCCTAAGCATCCCCAGCTGCAGAGAAAGTAAATAGGAGCTCTGCTGGATACAGTCAGTACCATAAAAAAATGCTAAGTTCTCTTTAAAAACAAAACAAGCCTATGTCTTTTCAATTTGACATTCAAAATTAGTGGACATTTTTTACATTAATGTCCCTGCGTCTCTGTTCTCCATCTGTAAAATTAGGATAATTGCTTTCACCTCACCTAATACGGGTGTTTGGAAGATAAGATCGTTAATGTTTGTGAAGCCCTTGTAATATTACAGTGATCAGCACCATAGAAAAGCCCATGAGGAAATTATTAATTTTGTCTTCAGAGCTGGATTTGAATAGTAAGCAATAAACAAGGCCTCAGGCTGTATAGTGGGAAGAAGAAAACAAAATCTGGAATAGCTGCTCTTTGATTAAGCACTGTCTGTCCTGTGTATTGAACAAAGCAGGGGAGTTACAGAAAATATAGTATGTGACCGTGCAGTCAAGGATTGTAACACAATGCACATACATAAGACAGCTGAATTAATTTTGCACAGGCAATGTTAATTTTCTAATTTTTCAAGATCTGAACTTTGCAAGCCTAGCATTGTTTTGATGCAGTCTTTTGGGGTATGTTACATATATAAGTGGCAGCAGCATCCAGCAACCTCAATCACAACGGGAGCCCTGTGGTTTCCTGCCCATGCATATACAGCTGTCCTTTCTGGCCCAAAGAGCTCAGCTGTAATTTCAGCCAAGATACAAGAGATGTATGTAGAGACCAAAATCCACAGTCCAAAGTCTATCTTTGTGCCGTTACAAGGATATTTGCAAAACTGAGGTTTCTCCATCCCTTTTTTTTTTCCTTTGGTGGTATTGCTATGACAAGCTATAACTTTCCTAAATTGCTCCAACATGAATATTCATAAGAGGGCAAGGATGTACTGTCAACAGGAAAGAGTTGGGGGTGCACTACCCAGCTTTTCCTCTTCAGAGGGAGTGAGCTCAGCTCAGCAGCATGGCTTTGTGTGCACATCACTGTCCCCAGCCCCACTGATGTTCCCTGTCTGCCCTGACAATGCTGCACTGATACACTCGTGTGTGAAATGTATTTCATGCCTCCTTCTTCATTTTAAATTAGAATTTCTGTTCCAAGCCTGATATTCGTTTTTATTCATTAGAACAACATCTTTAAACATCTGAGAGTCTTTCTTAGCAATGTAATTGAATTTTTGTGTGTTTATATCCTTTTTCATGAATTTGTGGCTCACTATGAAATTTGCCATTTTTACTCTAACATCCCATGAAATCTGTTATCATTCTGTGTGATTTACACAAAGCTGTGCCTGCAGCCCAGCTGCAGGTGAAATATCGAAGCACTGACAGAAGGGAAAGACACAGCAAATGTCACTTTTTCTCTATAAGTCAGCATCAGCTGTAATTCACCTCCAGTGTCCGTAGAGAGAGTGAGTTGCTGTCCATGCCAATATTTGGGCCAGAGAACATGGTGCAGTTCCTTTGCAGCCCATTGGGATGCAGTAAGTCGGGGTGACAGGCACAGCCAATCTCAGCCCTAACATCCACTGTGTCAGCATCCCAGGGCTCAGGACTCTTCCAAAGCAGAGCTCTTGACAGAGGTGCTTGCAGTGAGGGTCTGCAGGTGGGTGCCCCAGCAATGTGTAAACACATAACGCATCCCTCTGGTTTCTCTGTACCGCCACATCCGAATCAAACCCAGTATCTTCTCCTCCCTTCCTTTCCACGCCACTGAGTCCTACAGCCAGTAAGGTAACAGCATAAGGTGGTGTCATGCTGGGTGAAGCAGTAGTGATGCACCTTGTTTGTCCCCAGCTGCTGGAGGCGATAAGCCAAGGGAGTCAGAGCAGGCGCCAGCGACGCCAGGCAGACAGGCTCAAGCCCTACATTGCTGCTCAAGTGGATGTGCTGCCTGAGACCTTCACCCTGGGGGATGAGAAGAACTACAAAGGCTTCTACAACAAGCCCCTGTCTCAAGACCTGAGCTATCGCTGCTTCGTGCTGGCCTCGCTGGAGGATGGAGACACGGTAAGGACTTTCTGCTGGGAGTGGACACAGTCTGTCCTAGTGCAGGGAGGGTGAACAATCACTGCAAGCTGGGATGATGCAGTTTTCTCTGAAGAGAGGAGACTGAGGCTGCATAGCTGGTCTCAACAAGCTGAGGCGGCCGTGGGAGCTGACTTGATAGATGGTGTTTTTGGGGGGAAATGGCATGTATGTTCGACATAACAGATGAGAGTGGAGAGCAGTGTCAGCACACGCATTCTACACAAGCTCGGTTGTGGCTTGCTGGGCTGTGCCCAGAGCACAGCTTGACACATGGTGGGGCTGGGATAGGTTCTCGTTCTGCTTTAGTTCAAGTAAGCGACTGTGGAAAATAGCCCCTTGAAATCCCACCCTGCGCACTGGCTGCTGAGGCTCTGCAGTGAACAGGACCTGCAAACCCGACTTCACAGTCCCTTCTGTGGCCAGAGTCTCACTTCCAGCTGGTGTCTGGAGAAGCAAACAAACCTGGCTCCTGTCGCAGTGGGTTGTCAGCAGGGCAAAGCTGCACACATGCTTGCTGTGGAGGGATTCTTGCTCCTGTGCCTCTCCTTGCTGGAGGCAAATGGGCCATGCCCTTGTCAGCAGCATGCCGCCAAGCATGCAAGGCCTGGGCACATGGGGGAGAAGGGAATAGCTGATGCAAGAAGCAGGGAGCAGCATGGCGAGACCTGTGCATCAGTCTCCAGCTGTAAACACAGAGGGCAGGAGTGGTGGTGGCGGCAGTAGGAGCAGCCAGTGTGTAAATAATGGAAATAATAGAGATGCACAGAATCCTTTGGTCGGCTTCCAAGCTGCGGCTTTCTTCCTCAGCCTTGTTTGCTTGTAATGGCTCATTAGGGCTGGTCAAGTTGTTAATTACTCATCCAGCTCACGTGTTCTTGTGGCACAATGTGCACACTGGTGAGGGAAGGAGAGTCACAGATGAACAGCAAGGTAAAGCAGAGGCCTTGGGGTGTGCTGTCCTGGCAATCTCTGTCAAGAAGAGATGACCTGAACTAGGTGATCCCGGACTGTCATCATATCCTCCCTAGCACAGATCTGCCACGGCCTTCCAGTGAGCCACCAGCCAGCAGAGTTGTTACACCCTGCTCCTAGAGACCTCCTTCCTGCATGCCCTGCCGCCTCGTGCCCATTGCCATTTGCAGCATGAAGCACTCTGTCCAGGGCTGGGCACTATCTCCCCCACTCAGCTCTTCTTAAATTGCTTGGTGCGTGTCTAGTGTCAGCAGGCAGACATAACATCACCTTTCTTAAAAGGCAAAGGGGAATGTGGTTGAAAGACCATCTCTGAGAACAGGGACACTTGCACCTTTGGAAAGGCCACTGAGATAACAGAGCTTCTGATCTCCTCTGCTTCTGTCTTCTCTTGGAAGGAAGCATTTCCAAAGTGTGTCTGCAAAAATATGAATCTTTGCCCCCTGCAGAAAGCTTTGCAGGTGGACACACGTTTCCTAGCTGCACGCTCCTTCCCCCCCATCTAAGGCAGCTTGGCAGTCACAGGCAAAGGCGTTGTGCCTTCCTCACAGCATAACCGCTTGCCCGTGCAAAGGGGAGCCCCAGGCCTTCTGCTCCATCCTCTCACCACTGGTGTAGCACCTTCCTGTCTGCCATGCTCAGACAGAGCTGCTACTAACTCCCTGCCCTGTTGTTCGAACTAGGCAGGGGAGGCGGAGGAACAGGCCAACGCCTTGCAGGGATCCCATGCAGAATTTTTCTAGGAACAGAGCTGAACTGGGAGCCAGCAGCTATAACAAGGTCTCGTAGGGCTGAAAGGTTTCACAGACAAAGCAGCAACCACCCCCCATGCTCCCCGTCCAGGCAGCGGCATCTCTGACCTCTGATAGATCTGAGGAGAGCAGCTAGGATGCTGCACCTGCGCGTGCTGCCAGAAGGATGTCACAGATAAGAGCATTTTCTGTACTCCATGCATGTTTGAAACCAGGCTGGCTGGGATAAAGAGCACCTGTGAGAGGAGATCAAGATGTGCATTTGTGTGACACCAGCACGCTTGATTTTTCCCTTTCTTCCCCTCACATGCGCACAGTCTTAAAGTGCATGTTTAAACTTTGACCTTAAAGCAGGCGATTTATAGATCCACAGGCACCTCTTCAGTGACTGAAACGTTCTATAGCAGAGCGTTTCTGGCTTCCTAATGCAGGGCAGCAGGTGCTGCTCCAAAGCCACCAGCGCTGAACTGATACAGCTCTGGCCCTCTCTAACAGGGGGAAAGGATTTCTTTTTGCAGCATTTAACCCTTCTGACATAGAGAGGGTGAGCTGTGAAGGTACAGCACAGCCCCATAAAACTTAGCAACAGCAGCAGAATGAGCCGGGCACAGTGTCATTTATCTGCAGGAAGGGTTTGGGTCTCTGCTAATCCCATCTTGCTGGTGGGGCTAGAAAGCTGTCCCTCTGGATCATAAATCACTGGGCTGCCAGATTGCAGAAGTCTCTGGAAAGGACCCTGTAAGTATGATCCCCTTTCCAAGGTCTGTTTTTCAGGGCTGAGACATCAGGTAGAAAATGTTCCTGTTATTCCATTCCTTTAAGCAAACTGCCTAGCCCAGCAGGGGTTTTCCTAATATAGCCCTGTCCTGGAGAGATGTGTTGATATCAGCACAGCAGGTATTACACACCACTTGGGAATCATCAGCCAGCCCCGCTGTGCAATTGGTTGGGATTCAAAAGCTGGTGATTTGGCTCTGAGAGAATCCAGGGCTGGCAAGTGTCTCTTCTCTGGGCTGCTCCAGTTTGGTACCTCGAGGCCAGGTCTGCTAGCCAGAAAGTTGCTGGCACTGGGAATGTTTCACACCAGGAGTTTCCGCAGCGTGACCTCCACTGATGCAAAGGGAGCATGGTGTGCTGCTGTGGTTTGAGAAACGTGACCGTTCCCTGCTAGCCAGAGGCAAGGGAAAACCTCTGCATTTCAGGGATATAGCTGTTGCTTTAGCATAATGGACACTTGTTTTTCTTTCCCTCTCCTGCCGGTGCTGTTCAGAAGAGATATGCAGCCAGCCCCTACTCAGATGAGATCGTGATGGAAGTGACTTCAGCAAAGCAGCAGGATGAACCGGAGATGCTGTGGGTGATGGGGCCCGTCCTGGCTGTGATATTAATCATCATCATTGTCATTGCTATACTCCTTTTCAAAAGGTGAGATCCAGTCCAGGACATGGCAGTTATGGCACGAGCACTATGGGTGGTGGCACCTTCAAGACCTTCCTTGTAGCCTTCAGATATGGTGGTCTGATAGACAGCCCTTGGTGGTCATGGGGAGGAGGAAGGTCTCTACCACGCACAGCAGAAGGCTGCTTTGTAAAGAGAGCAGAAGGGCTGGGAATGCAGAAGGTAATTAATATCAGCCCCAGGACACAGAGCTGCTGTGAATTCTGGAAATGTGTGAGCAGTGGGACAGAGGAGAACAGTTTTGTACCTAAAGCCAGTCTGACCTCCCCCTGGTTTCACAGCTTGGATTTGCAGCCTTGGGGACATCTGTAGTACTGGTTTTCTGTTGCCTGCTTGATTTCTGGTAGGTGCCCCCACTGCTGTGAATTTTGATTGGGGAACATGGTCTTGGTAGTGGGAACAGGGCATGGATGTGACAGGCTGAAATCAGAGTAGGAGCTCTCTTCTTGAAGCGCCTCAGTCCTGGCTACCAGGTCAGGACCATCCATGCTCTGTGCTTTCTGCTGAAGCAACCACTTGCATTTGTGTAGCAGAGCTCTCCTGCTAGTGCTGTAACTGCAGCATGAGATGATTGTTAGTCCTCCTGAGGAGCCACAGGTTGCATTTGCATGTGTTCGTGTAGCCTGTTCAATTACAGTAGGTCATTCTCTATGAGGTTCTGCTCCTCCTGGACTCTCTATTTACATATGTATCTGTAGCTGGGGAAGGGAGCTGGCTTTGTTGTCTGATTAAATGGAGCTCTGCTGTGCATGTGCAGTCAGTGCCTTTCTGTGTCAGTGATCATCTCCTTTCTTCTGTTTCTGCTCTTCCCTGGATCTAGTAAACAAGAAAGGTAGGAATCCATTTTATCTTCTTGTTTTGCTAAAATTTCAAGTCTATTTCCCTTTTTAAAAATCAAGCCTGAAGCTACTAAGGGGCATCTTTATTTTTTGGATCATGGGGCATGCCAGCCCTGGAGGTTTACAAAGACTTTTCTTCTCAAAGGTATCAGCCTCCTAGCAATTGTCAGCCTCTCACAGCTCTTAGAGAGACAGTTCCAACATAAAGACTTCCCAGATTGTTTTTGCAATTAAATTAAAAATCAAAAAAATGACAACACCAGCAGTTATAGGTGTTTCTTTGTTTTCTCAGTCACTTCAGACTGAGAGCTGTTCTGCCAAGAATGCAGGTGCATTCTTGCAGTCGATAATGAAGAAGCTTTGAGGGAATACCAGGCAATTGTAAAAAGAAGTATTTGCTGCTCTTTAAGGAGAGAAAATGGCCCCAGTGGGGATTCTGTACCTGGGCCCCATATTTGCTGTGCCCAGCTTGGTTTACCTTTGCTTTGTCCCAGAGTCTGGTGTGGGTGGAGCACCAGGAAGCAGCAGCAGCCTGCTGTGCTCAGACCTGACATTGATGTCCCTGCTGTGCCCATGCAGGAGCAGCATATCTGCTTCCAGCACCACCCACCTGCTCAGAGTGATGCTGTGTTATGCTGCGGTTCTTTGCTGTCCAGCTTCTCTTCAGAGGCATTTTCTGCCAAAGGTAAAATGTATCTGTGCAGCATATTCACAGTGTCAAATCTACAGTGGGAGTGAACTGAAGCTGAGTAGCAGTGCATAGCTTGGGATCTGGAGGTTTGTTTAGCAACTGCCCTGGCTAGGCTAATGGGAGAGACAAACATTAATTATGTGCTGTGCCCATTCTCCAGAAAAGCTGGGCCACTTTGCTCAAGGGCTCAGAGACTGGCACGCAGTAGCACATGGCACATCCTGCTGTGCCCCTTGTAGGAGAAACAGTGCTTTATTTGTTTGCTGTGCATTTTCCTTTCTTTCTGTCAGTGCTCTCAGTCCTTCAGTTCTTTTGTCTTGGTTCAGGCGACTAGAAGGCTTCTGAGATGTTGAGATGACTCAGAGTAGCGTAAGACTCACAAGCTGGTCCTCCCCATTGAACAACTCCAGTGTATGATGCAGGCGGGGGCTGCAGCTGGAGCTTGCTCACAGTCTGGGCTACAGAGGGAACACAGGTTTCACTCACGATTTATTCACCCAATTTTCCCTAATTGCTTCTCACTAGTGCCAGTACAGCATGCACAGCTCCCTGTGGAAGTGACCTTGTGCCTGTGCAGAGCGTTCCTGATCACGCGTGGCTCAGGGTCACCACCGTCCTGAGGTACAGCTGCCTCTGTTCTGCAACCCTTCAGGGTGCTTCAAAATGACTCTCAAGGCGGTAAAAAGCAGAGGCTGACTGTTGCGATTTGCAGGACGGTAAATGCCCTTGTGCAGCCTAGCAGTGATGCAGCTCCCTCTCTTCAAAAAAACATCAGGTCAGCAGAGGGGTTCACCATCAGGTTAAATCCATTTGGGGGCTATAGCCAAAAGACAAAGTCTCTTGTATTGCTGCATGCTCAGCACATTGGCAAAGTGTCAGGGTCAGCACAGACTCAGAAGAGAGTACTGCTGTCCTGCGCCTGCCCAACACCTCTTTCTACTGCCTGGGTATATCCAACGTATTTGTAATATAGAGCAGAAAGTGTGACTTAGAGAACCACTAGAAACTCCTCTTGCAGTGTTAGATTTTTCCTTCGTATTCACTTGTCCACTTTTTGAGTGGGTCTGTCCCTGCTTTGCCTATGAATTCCACCAAGACCCTGAGGTGGTGGCATCGCTCTAGGCATAAATATAGCATGAAGAGACAACAGTGTATTTTATTGTTCCATTAATACATGCCTTGGGTGCCTTCAACCATTCAAGACATGTATTAATGGCCCAATAAAACACACCCTGAAGAACATTTACACTATTACATTACAGTGTTCTATATTTAAATATTTCTAATACTCAAAAAAAAAAAAATTATTATATCCTTCCACTACAGGAAGTAGTTCCTAGAGAGAGTAAAAGGAAATAACAGCTTGCATCTATGTGCTTTTTCTCTAATAAATACTATGCAGAATATCACATTTCAAAGTGCCTCACTAATCAAACCTCTGGCATCAATGACATACGATTCTTCCTGTTTCATAGATGGGAAACTGGAGGCACAGAAGAGGATGTGACTTGCCCAGAGCCCCAGGGAGCCTGGGATGGAGCTGCGTATCTGGGATGCAGGGACCCAGACTCCCTCCCATGGTGGTTCATGCCAGTCTGGCAAAGCTCACCTGCTTCTCTCTCCTTTCTGTCCATAGGAAAAGGGCACACTCCCCCTCTTCCAAGGATGAGCACTCCATCGGCCTGAAGGACTCGCTCTTGGCCCACTCCTCTGACCCAGTTGAGATGAGGCGGCTTAACTACCAGACTCCAGGTAGGGAGCAGCAAACCTCCTTGTGCCCCACCTCTGGTTCCCCTTCGCCAGGTCTCCATGCCAGAGGAGGAGTTGCAGTCCTCCCCCTGCAGCAGCTCTGCACCTTCTCAGTCACAGTGGTGCCACAGTGGGGCTTAGACTGAGGATATCCAGGTGTCCCCTCTCTGGTCTGCAAATCCTTCTCCCTGGACCTGTCACTGAAGGCATGCAAGGCTGGAGAACCTGTACGGGGACAGCCTAGTGTGTGGTGTGTGTCAGACATACTGTGAAGCTCACTGTGGTTGTCCTGAGCCAGGAGGAGCCTCCACACACAGCTGGGAGAGCTCGCAAGTGCCTGCAGCTGCGTTGCTCCTGGCTGCTGCACTGGCTTGGTCCAGGCTGAGATTCAGTGCTGAGCACCACTGGTGCAGTGCTGGCCACAGGGGCTGCGTGTGGGGGGATCAGGAGGTACAGAGAGCCCTTGGACTGCTGAGGGTGTCCCAGCAGCTTTGTCCTTGGATGTTTGGTGTGCTGACTTTCCTGCTCTGCTCAGCTAAGGGTGAAGAGAAGAGCTGCCTTCAGCCTACGTTGCTCCCCGGTCAGTGCTGTGGCCCAGTGAAGGGTGCTGCTGGTTACGGTGGTCTCAGCGCGGAGGAAGATAGTTCAGTAACAGCCATTGCTTTCTGCATGCAACTGTTCACTGCAGAGCATCTCATCATGCCTGCACTGGCCTGTAGTGCCTTGGGGGGTGTAGCTGGTTTGCCAGCCCGCAGAGGCAACTGTACTTCGCACTGCAGAAAGGTCTCGTGCTGCTGCTTTGTGTCTGTACGTCTCTGATGGCACTGAAAGCACAGTACCTGTCATTGTAGTGATCAGAGACAGGCTCGCCCTGTCTCATTCAGAGCCTTTCAGAGAGCCCAAGTCCTAGATGAAGTGGGGGGGCACTTGGGCTTTTGTGATGGAGGGAGCAGTTCAGCAATAAATGAGGCACATACAGCTCTCTTCTAACTTGCAGCTTCTCCTGGTCTGTAACCTACTTTCCTTTTCTTCCTGCTGCTCATTCATCTTAGAGCTTTTATCTAACTGGAGAGTTTCCAAGGGACCATTTCCTGATGTAAACCTGCTGTGTCTGGGAGGGAGGGTAAGAGAAGCCTTTCCTGTTGCTGCTCGCAGACATGGGGTGGGCTTCACCAGCACATCTCCCCCCCTCCCCATGCCAGAGCGGGTGTCAGAGATCCGTAGTTAGTGCATCTCCCAGGCAGGACCAATCACAGATCTCAGGGGTAGGATGCAGTGCCACCCTGGCAGTTGCCAGCAGAACTGGCACATCAATTAGCCACAGAATGGTACTGCAGCGTGGAAGAGAAATGCTGTGGGGAGCAAGGGAGGCACCTGTGCTGGAGGAAGAACATCTCAAAAGGCAGATCAGTGAGAGAAGCAGTAGGTGAGCGGGTCACACACAGTCAGCAACAACATGCAGCTCCTTGAGGAAGAGCAAGGTATTGAACAGGGCTGCTCTAGGACATGACACAGAGGCTGGTCCCCACTGCCCAGGGACACAAGAGCCATCTTTGCTGCATGCTTGTAGTTTACATTGCGTGGACGAGTGTGACAGGTCAGGCTTGCACCTACTCCCATCTCCAACAAGAGATCAGGGTGTTTTCATCAAGGGCATCCATTGCTAAAGCTGTAGGAAGGGTCAAGAGCTGCTATCAGATAGAAGAGGGGTCCAGGAAATTTTCTTTTCCCGCCTGTGCCTAAGGATAAAAAAAGATGCTGGCTCATTTGGTAAGTTTGCAGAGCTCTCTGGAGAGACAAAAACAACCCAAAGTGTCCGGTCCACTAGAGACAGCAGCAGTGCCCTGGAATGCTGCTGGCAGACACTCTCCCACCGAGTGACAGCACTGTGTCCTCCTCCCTTCCCCCCCCATCATCACTTGTGAGGCTCTGCTAGAAGTGACTGTTCAGCTCCTGACAAGCTTGTCCTCATTAATAAGGAGGCATGAAAACCACTGAGCCCAGTGGGCCCGTGCTGTTGCCCCTGTCAGCCGCCCGAGGTCAAGGCAGTGCTGCATGGATGCATTGCCAAGAGGTGCTGGCCACCAGCCCTGCACGCTTTGGTAGCTGGTCTCCCTGCTGGAGTGTGCTGAGCAGGGAAATCTTGTTTAATGCATAATTAATTGTGATACTGTTATTAAATATTAAGCTTTCTCTTTTTTGTGGTTTTTACTTTAGACAAGGGTTATTTCCCCCACTGTTGGCCTCCCTGTGCTAACATGCTGCTATGCCAAGTCGCTGAGAGGATATGGGACCGGGCAGTGTCCCAATATACCATGAAATGAGGCTGAGTTGCACTGCTGATGAGCTGCAAACGAGCTGGAGGCTCAGGGGCACTGAGCGGAGGTTGCTGGGGCTGCGTGCAGTCCTCCTGGCCACCGAGCAGCACAGATGTCCCCTGTACCTGCAACCCACCTGCTGGCTCCCCTTGAGCATGGGGTCGTGGCCGGTGGTGTGCAGTGAGATGTGTAGCTCTTGGCGTCAGATGAAGACCTGTGTGCTCACTGCCCTGCAAGTTCCTCCAGCCCCACGTGTCTTTCAGCATCAGGGGCTGGTGCTGGCCAGAGCCAAAAGCCCGGTGTGTGAGGGCCAGCTGCAGAGCAGCCCCGGGGCCCACCAGCCAGTCCTGTGCAGGAGGGAGGCTCCCGGTGCTGTGGCAGATGGTACTTTCCTCTGCGGCTTCATCTCTTTGTCTTTCCATTTCTGAACCTCTGCAATGATGACTAAAGGCTAATGGGATTTCTGTTCTTGCCCCATTTCTTTTCTTTGCAGGTGCCAGTGTCCCCAGTTGCCCGAATATCTCAAGTTAGTTTGAACTCCTGTCTTTATCTTTTGACACCTTTTGCTTTTTCTTTCCCTTTCTCTCTCGTCTATGTAATTTTTGTTTCAATGTCATGAAGGTCACCCTCACTCACAGCAGACTGTAGAACAGCAGTGATTCAGTGATTTCACTTTCTGACATGACGTATGGGCCCTGCCGAGGCCAGGCTCGGGTACTGTTTGCACAGCACTACAGCAGCTCACCGCAGCACGGTGCAGAAGGGAAGGATGTGGGTGCTGGGCTGCCAGAAGGCTTCTGCAGCAGCCCTTCACCTGCTCCCAGGCCTCCTGCCCCCTTCCAGCAGCGTGCCAGGCTCTGCCATGGTGCCAGGCCTGCTCCTGGCCCTGCATGGGGACAGATAGCCTTGGCCATTCTGGAGGGGGTCAGCCAGCAAATGGACAAATTGAAGGGTGCTCTGCAGCCCTTGAACACTCTCGTGCTCATTCAGGCAGACTAGCTTCCCTGGGCTGGGTCCCATGTGCTGATCTCTGAACTACCTTGCAGCAGTGTTGGCACCAAAGTCACGGGCACAGAGCAGAGGGACTTACTGCTGTAGCAGGTTGGATGGAATTGCTCTGGGACTATGGGTGTAACTGCCCCTTTATTTCTTCTTTGTCTTGTGAGCTTCAAGTTCACTCTCAACCAACCATTAAAGTGTGTCCTCCCTGCTGCTTGATATCCAAGGTGTCTGTGTGTGCATGCAGGAGTGGGAGCAGCGTGTAGGATAGATACAGGAGCAGAGACAAGGGCTTTGCAGTCTGCAGTCCTGCAGCCATTGAGAGACCTCAGCTGTTCTAGCATGGTGGAGAGCTCACTATCCTCTGGCCAAAGTCATTGGAAGAGCACGTAGAATCACAGAATCACAGAATGTTAGAGATTGGAAGGGACCTCGAAAGATCATCTAGTCCAATCCCCCTGCTGGAGCAGGAATAGTGTCTACAGATCTCCTGTCTTGCCCTGCACTGTCTGTGGCAGTTGTTCCAGGTTCACCATGATGGCATACCAACTACCTCTTTCTCCCATTCTGCTCTTGCGGCTCCTTTGGTGCTGCAACACTCCTTTGACCAGCAAAATTGAAGTTTGGAGAGACCCCCTTGTATTTCTCAGCAGAGATGAGTGTCTGCAGCTCTGCTGTGCTCCATGGCCCTGCCATGTTTCGTTCATGACCACATTGGGATAACTACATACTGTGGTTATGTTCCAGCCTCTTTCTTCTTCCAGCCTTACACTTCGGCTTTGGTCCCACCATGTTCTCATTTGATTGTTCCTCAGTAACAGCTCTGCTCTGCAAAGGCTGCTCCTGAGCTACAGGAGCACCAATGAGCAACTTGTGCAGAAATCAGAGCATCATCTTTACGGGCCTGCTCAGCTACCTCAGGGGTCCTGATGAGTGAAGTGACAAACAGAGGACCATTTCCAGGAGGACCTCAGCACAAGGCTGAAGAGTGATCTTTCCTTCTCCATCTGCCCGTATTCTCAAGCCATCCGTAGATAGCTCTGCACTGTCGTGATGGAAGGGCAAGTGTGTGTTGGATCAGGTCTTGCCTATATGCGAGGATGTCAGATGCTTTTGGCAGAGGTGTGAGGAGCCCTGTTGTGCAGCAGCTGCAGTGTAACACTTCCATGTTATCACCTAGTGACTTGTCACCACTGTGTAAAATGTGCATACACAGCCTGGGGACTGCTCCATCACCTCAGCGGCCCATCACTGCCATCTGTGGCAGCACGCAGGCTCCTGAGCGATTGAGAAGCTCCTGGCCATGCTCCAACCTGTCTCCCTGGGTGCGAATGAACAGCTTCAGCCTATTAATAATCATTATTTACCCACGTGGGGCTTCTGGGAAACCCACAGAGCAGCCAGTGGAGTCACGAGCCTTGGGATTTGGATGAGCCAGGCTTTGGAAGTTTCACAGCCGCGTTCCTGCCAATTACCATACCGGCTTCAGAGGTTGCAGTGGTTGAGCCCTGAATCCCAGGACCCCAGCAGGGCTCCTCCCAATCCTACATGTGCACCCCCCACAGTACCTGTCCCCTGTGCGGGATCTTTGGGATCCCCTCCTCCAGACTTCTCCCCTGGGCAGGACTTGGGCTGTTTCCCCTGGCTCACCATGGAGCCATACTGTGCACCCCTACTCTAGACGGGGCAAGACTTCTGCCATGGCTTGAGCTGCATCGCAGCTTGCACGAGCCAGCCCAGTTGAGATGGATTTTGGGCCCTGGAGCTGGCTTTGCCTTCAGAGCATCACTGAAAAGCACTGAGTTACACAGCTGTGGGCAAAGCTGCTCTTCGGCTCTCAAAAAGTTGTGCAATCTCCAACCAGGGGAGCAGCTGTTCCTCTGTGGGGTCCTTCCCATCTTTCTCCAGCTCTCCAGGAGCTGGGGCAGCATCTGCCTACCCAAAAAGCTGTGCACAGACGCTGCAGAGGCTTCCCTGGAGCGGATCGGGGTGAGTTTCTTTGTGGCTAGTGCCGTTGTTAGGGGTGAGAGGATCAGCCCCAGCCTTTGGCAGTATGCCGTTGTTAGGGGTAAGTGAGAGGATCAGCCCCAGCCTTTGGCAGTGAGAGCACCAGAGAGTCAGTGCGTTCAACTTCAGCCTGTGCAGGAGCCCGGGAAGCGCATTGACAGCATCTCCTAGGCCCGTTCCTGCTGGGGGCTTGCCCGAGCCCCTGCCCGCTCTGTGTGCCCGGTGGCTGTACTGTCCGAGCATGCTCACCTGGTCATGCACATTCTGCACATCACCTTTCTTTTTTGTTTCACCGAACCGTGTGCTCCGATAGTGCGTGCAGCATGCCATGTGATCTCGCCGACTTCCCACCCATCCCGCCCAGCGCTTCACATAGTCACACGTGTCCACCTTGCACCCACCTTTCAGGTTTGCTGTGCACATGCTGTTGTCGAGCTGTTCCTCAGCTGTGGAGAGCCCTAACTGTTTTCCTCTCCCTCCTTGTCTCACTCGCAGGCATGCGTGACCACCCCCCCATCCCCGTGACAGACCTTGCTGACAACATCGACAGGCTGAAGGCCAATGATGGGCTGAAGTTCTCCCAGGAATACGAGGTGAGCGTGAGAGCATGCTGGGTGGTGGGGACAGAGTGGTGCTGGCCAGGACCCCCAGCAGAGAGGGTTTGAAAGCTGAGACGTGCCTCCCCCGCACCGGCATTGTCAGGCACTGAGCCGGGACTGGGAGCCTGCCAGCTCTGCCTGCCAGCCCCAGAGCGGTGGGAACTCGCCTTGAGCAGTTGAAGCACGGCTTGTACAGGGAAAAGGCCTTGCAGCTGAACACGCAGCAGCCCGCCATGCTCCCACCATGGTTACAGTCTTAGGAGTGAATGGGAGCTCGTGTCTATGCGCCTGGGCTGTCGCTGTTTATTGTTTTGCTCTGCAAGGGCTGTTCTCCATCCAGGCTGGATGAGGTATTTCGGTCCTCAACATCCCCTGCCCCTTACTTCCATCTACATTCCAAGTCTTGCTTTCTGCACCATCTTCCGCTGCTGACAAACAGCAGATTCAGGTTTTCATTCCT